GATCAAATTTCACCAGCGAGTCCATCTTACCCCATTCGGGAAGGCAATGTTGAGAACACAAATAATACACATTAATGATAATGTGGAAATAGAAATGCTTCAACATTGTTGGTGAGGATGCTTATTACTACATCCACTATGGAAATCAGAATGGAGCTGACTCCTGAAACTCAAAAGGGCCCAGCTGTACCAATGCCCACTCTTGACTGAAAAAAGTCTAGTCAGCACTCAAACAGTGGTTTATTGGGTCTCATGAAAATCTCTCTTCTAGCTTCCAGTAGGTATTTATTGGCTTTGCTTTCTAGTTCTTTATTCCACATTCGCAGGCCTGACAGTTCTTGACTCCCACAAAGCACAATCATGTCCTTATGCCTCTCCTGGTGAGACATTTATTTTCTTTTGTGACCCTGAGTTAGGGGCACTCTGTGTGGGATCACTGTCACCATTATGAGGATATAAGAGATGATATGCTAAAAATAATCCAACAAGAAACAGAAGAAGAAATCAAAGATGTGGCCAGGGGACAAGAAACAAGTATTAAAACATGGCTTACTTTGGGGTCAGGTGATGAAGGGGTAGCATCACGCAAGCCCTTCTTGGTGGTATGTATTAAACCGTAGGTGGAAACCACATGTTCTCTTTCACTCTCAGAATGATTGTTGTTCAGCAAGGCTCGGTGTTCTAGTTTCTCCAGGTCGATTTTACCTGTTATGGGAAGAAGTCAAAGTAAAAAAGACATGAAACTCTGTGTCACTGTAAGTCAATCAATAGCACATTTGGCAGTCTCCAAAGACATTACCATGATTCCTGGATTGCCGGAAATTTTCACATACTTCCTCTTTTTCTTCAGGGGCATTCTGGGAAGGAAAAACATAGGATGCCAGGAATTAGCAAGCACTATAAAGACACTTTCTTCTCAGAAGCACAGAGATAGTTTTCTGAAACACACCACATCTGATGCCACAAAGCAAGGATTATTTCACAGAAAAAAAAATTAGGGAGAATGTCTGGCTTTCCATTAGTCTTTTATGCAATGAAATCAGAAATCAACAGTAGAATAAAAACACAGGAGCCCCTCAAACCCCCTCCACTGAGTGATCAACTACTGGAGAGCGGAAGACACGAGAGATTAAATAAACAATACTTCAAGGTTACTGAGAAGAACCGCCACACAACCTATCCACAACCCAGGGATACTCGGAACGTGGTTCAGAGAAGAAGGTTCAGAGCCCTTAAGAGAACAGAAAATTTCCCAAACACAAACCTCCCATTACATTTCAAGGCCATGGAGAAAGAAGAAATCAACACTGAAAGCAGCCCTAGATGGCAAATAATTCAAATCAGAACCAAACTTTAAGAAATGAAAACAACAAAGTTCCAACAAAATCAACAATATACAAACTTGGTTCTTTGAAACCAACCATATGTTTGACCAAAGTTTATGCATACTATACAGAGACAGAACTACAAAACTCAATTTTCTGAAATTTGGGATGAAAAGGAACAATCACCATGGAGCACAATGAAATGGAGAGGATAATCAGAAACTATTTGGGAAACTTATATTCGCATTGCCTACCCAAATGCACATCACAGATTCAAATAGATCGAAATCAAGCCATGAAATTGAAGATATGCTCCAAAGCCTACCAGCAAAGCAAATCCCAGGACCCAATGAAGCCTTGTCCTGGTTCAACCAGACCTTTTAAAAAGAGTTAAT